GGACGCCCCAATGACCATCCGAACTTTAGTATGACAGTATCTGAGAACATATCCAGGTAGAAGCGAGTGCGCAACTCTAGCGCTATCTGCATGCTGTTCCAGACTATCCAAAAAATCCGAAACATGTTTCCCTCTGAATTTGGGAGCACCGGGCGTACCAGGCGTTGGCATAGGAACGCCCAAAGTCGCGTTAAGACTCGTTTCAGACACAGACGAATTAAGTGAATCCATAGACGCGATTTTGTCTACGGAACCCATAAAAAAAAAGGAAAGAGAGAGAAATTCGAAGCAAAAGAGAGAATCGAAGGGGAATGCTTAGCGTATATGCGGCTGAACGTATAGTCCTACCACTTCAAGTAAACTGAAAGTGGCAATAAAATGCGAATTTGCGAAAGCGGAGGGGTGTTGGTCGTGTATATGGCGAAAGAGGTGGATGTATGCGGCTGAAAACCGAATAATCAGCCTAAAGTCAAATAATGAATACGTACTAATTCTTTCTCGACGAAAGCCGAAGGCGCAGAACGGAAAACCAGAACCCCTGTCTCGGTCACCACTGTGGAAGAACGAAAGTTCAAGGACAGGGAGGGGTCACTGGTCGTCTGCCACAGAAAAAGATAAAGAGAGTGAGAAACAAAGAAAACGAGAACAAAGGGAGAATAAGAATCGGGCGCTTATCGTGAGTGGCGTGTGATCGCGCTCGATGTCGCCGTCTAATCGCCGTATGTACGTATGCGCGTCGAGTCGAATGTATGCGTCTTGAGAATGCGTGAGAGGTAAAAAGAGAGGTTCTTGAAGTGTGTCGTCGTCGAAAGAAGACAGAGTGAGTTGGACAAAGACTTGTAAAAACTTAAAAACTTTAAACGTGCTCGAGAGTCTGATGGGGGGGGGGAATCGATTTCAAACACGCGAAGAGCCTTTTAAATACGTTACAAACAATCACAAGGCTACGCACGTACTCGCATGCTGCCTGACCAAAAATAAACGAGAAGCGTCTAAAAATAGCGATAAAAATAGAAAGGATCACAAAGAAACAAAACAATGCTGACTTCACCCTCACCTCTCTCCGCAAATCCGTCAGACTAGGAATGACTCGGGGAACTTACAATGTAGGGAGAGGTCTATTTTCGTGCGCGACTGCCGACCTCAGTGCGGACATCCCTAACATTGATGCTCAACCCTACCGTCTAGCCATCGGAAAACGCGTCGAGCGGAAAAGGTTCTGTCGTAAGTAAGAAAAAAAATGCAAAAGAAAGAAAAACTAAAATTGAATGTAGGCGTACGATTCCAGGAAAACTTCCAAGACCAATTCCTTCAAGGGTGCGCATTGTTGGGCGACGCGGCGAGCGCTTCGACGTATAATGTCATCTAATCCGTTCTTGCCGCCAGTGACCGGATGCCACACAACCTTCGGTCTTTCTCCTTGATCCCTAAGAAAATACACGCTACACTCACTCTCGACATTCAGTAATGAACAAGTAAAATACAAATAACAAAATAAAAAGTAAAACCATAAAATAAGAAAGAAAAAGAAAAATACAGAAGGCGTCGTGAATGGAACGTGATGCACTTCCACACCGCCAAGGTGGTCTTACACTGCTGAGTCCTATGGCAGGGAGGAAAAAAGTCAAGATGGTTTCAGTCACGTGCGCATATTTCTTCTCTTTCGCTATTAATTGTCATTGACGCCACAAAGCCAAATTCAAGTTACTTAGCCCAATACAAGAATCTGACCATCTTCTTCCACACTGATCAC